CTGGAGATGTACGGGATCCGTCCGCACCCTGCCAGCGATGGCGAGGGGCTGCACATCAACCTGGCCGTGACACACATGGGGGTGCTGGTCCTGCGGGTGAGCCTGCGGCTCGGGTGGGCTCCCAGCACCCAGCCAGGGCTGCTTCTCTCCAGGGACATCCCCTTTAGTTGCTGGGGGGACACCCCTTTTCCTCTGCATGCTCCAAACCCTCCCCAGTCCTACAAAGGAGAGCACACCCCACCAGACCTTGGGTGCAGAGGTGATGCTCTGGGGCATGGTTGTGGGGCTCATTGCCACCATCCCCAGCAGCGCTCCCAGCTCAGTGCCGCCATGTCCACTCTGGCTCTGTGTGCACATGTCACGGCAAGCATGGCTGTGTAAGCACCACAGGTTACATGCCTGTCTCACACGTGTTCACTGTGTGATCCTCCAGCCTCCTCTCGTCTGTGCAGTTGCACAGGGCTGTAATCACAGCACAATGAGCCCAGAGCTCCTCACAGCCATTTCACACCAGCTCATTTCAACCTGGGAATAACTTGCCAGAGCAGAAAAAAAGGACTGTAACTCCTTGCTGTGGATCTGCTGCTCCTACTGTGCTGCCAGAGCCGAAACAACCATGATCAGGACATCTGTGAGCCCCTTAACTCTGGGGTCTCCCAGAAAGCTGACAGGGTCTCGGTGCCTCAGCACAGGGTGAGGCAGGTTTAGGTGGTCCTGCCATGACACCAGTGCTCTGGGGCTGTGCCTGGACAGATGTGTGATGAGAATAAGGGGAAAGGGAAACTTGCAGCCTGCTAACGCTGGGTCTAAAAGCATGGGAGTGAACTGAGCTCTGCTACAAGTCCCAGCAAAGAGAGGAGGGTCTTAGTTCTTTTGGGGGGCTGATTCTCTACTAACTCATGTGGTGTTCCAGCTGGGACAGTTAGGACTCTGCCTGGATCTCTATGAGGTTCGTCTTGAGATCCTGAGGCAGAGATAGGACCTGAACCTCAAGTTCCACCTGTAGGACCAACTGATGGAGAGGAGGGTCAAATCCCAGCAGCCCTTCCCAGACCCCAGCAGCACCGAGCTGCATCAATCTCATGCAGTGTCCTGCGAGCTCAGGACTTGGCCTGTTGTATCACTGTATTCCCAGCTTGCCTTGTCTGTACCTGCTGCGCGTGTCCTTGCAGGGCAATACAAAGATCAACACCTTCAACTGGTCCAAAATTCGCAAGCTGAGCTTCAAGAGGAAGCACTTTCTCATCAAGCTCCATGCAAACATCTCAGTAAGTACCAGGCTCGGAGCAGTAGCTGTGGATTGCAGTCCCCAGTTGTGAATCACCTGCATTTCCGCTCCCGTCCCGCCATGGGGGTGACACTGCACTGCCTGGAGCCACTGGGGTCCTTGTTGGATCACAGGGGCGAAGAGCAGAGCCCGGCCCCGCACCCTGACATGGGTTGTCTTGTCTCTGTCGACGCAGGCGCTGTGCAAGGACACGCTGGAGTTCACGATGGCGAGCCGCGATGCCTGCAAGGCCTTCTGGAAGACGTGTGTGGAGTACCATGCCTTCTTCAGGCTGTCTGAGGAGCCCAAATCAAAGCCCAAAGCCCTTCTGTGCAGCAAGGGCTCCAGCTTCCGCTACAGGTAAAGTCCCAAGGGAACAACCAAACCACAGCTCTAAGTCTCCCCTTTATGTCAGCCCTGGCTGGGTGGATGATGCCCAAAAGCTGCTTTTCTTGGAGAGACCATGCCTTGGTCCTGCTGCATCCCCTCACCTCTGCTGCAGCCCCAGGCTGGGGCTGGTGGTGCTGCTCACACCTCTCCCTCCATGCTGCAGCGGGAGGACGCAGCGGCAGCTCCTGGAGCATGGGAGGAAGGCAAAGATGAAGAGCCTGCCCTTTGAGAGGTACCGGGGGGCATGGAGCGGGGCAGTGCTTGGGTAGTGGTTGGGGGGGATAAGACCCACGCACCCACCCGTGCTATGGGTCTTGCAGGAAGCACTACACATCCCGCTACGACGAGAGGCAGTGCCGCTCCTCCCCGGACCTCCTGACCGATGTCTCCAAGCAGGTATGTGCCCATGGCGGCAGTGGGGGGCAGAGCCATGCCCTGGGAGTCTTGGCACTGCAGAGCTCCACTGGAAGCTGAGCTGGAAGCTCTAGGTCTTGCTGCCAGCCCCGCTCTGCCCCACT